CTACCAGACATACAAAGAGGAGCTAATACCATTCCTTCTGAAACTATTCCAAATAATCCAAAAAGAGGGACTCCTTCCCAAATCATTTTATGAGACCAACATCATCCTGATACCAAAACCCAGCAGAGACCCAACAAGAAAAGAAAACTTCAGGCCAATATCCATGATGAACATAGATGCAAAAATATTCAATAAAATAGTGGCAAGCCGATTGCAACAGCAAATCAAAAAACTTATCCATCATGATCAAGTAGGATTCATCCCGGGGATGCAAGGCTGGTTCAATATACGCAAGTCTATAAACCTAATTCACCACATAAACAAAACCAAAACCAAAAACCACATGATTATCTCAATTGATGCAGATATTCAACAGCCCTTTATGCTTAAAATCCTCAATAAACTCGGTATCGATGGAATGTATCTCAAAGTAATAAAGCTATTTATGACAAACCAACAGCCAATATCATACTGAATGGGCAAAAATTGGAAGCATTCCCTTTGAAATCCGGCACTAGACAAGGATGCCCTCTCTCACCACTCCTATTCAATATAGTACTGGAAGTTCTAGCCAGAGCAATTAGGCAAGAAAAAGAAATAAAGGGTATTCAGATAGGAAAGGTGGAAGCCAAATTGTCTCTATTTGCAGATGACATGATAGTATACCTAGAAGACCCCATCGCCTCAGCCCCAAAACTCCGGAAACTGATAAGCAACTTCAGCAAAGTCTCAGGATATAAAATCAATGTGCAAAAATCACAAGCATTCCTATACACCAATAACAGACTTAAAGAGAGCCAAATCAGGAACGAACTGCCATTCAGAATTGCTACAAAAAGAATAAAATACCTAGGAATACAACTCACAAAAAACTTAAGGGAACTCTTCAAGGAAAACTACAAACCACTGCTCAGCGAAATAAGAGAGGACACAAACAGATGGAGAAACATTCCATGTTCATGGTTAGGAAGAATCAATATAGTGAAAATGGCTATACTGCCCAAAGTAATTTACATAATCAATGCTATCCCCATCAAGCTACCATTGACGTTCTTCACAGAACTGGAAAAAACCACCATGAACTTCATATGGAACCAAAAGAGAGCCCGCATAGCCAAGTCAATTCTAAGCAAAAAGAACACAGCGGGGGGCATCACACTACCGGATTTCAAACTATACTACAAGGCTACAGTAATCAAAACAGCATGGTACTGGTACCAAAACAGAGATATAGACCAATGGAACAGAACAGAGGCATCGGAGGCAACACAACATATCTACAACCATACAATCTTTGATAAACCTGACAAAAACAAGCAATGGGGCAAGGATTCCCTGTTTAATAAATGATGTTGGGAAAACTGGCTAGCCATGTGCAGAAAGCAGAAACTGGACCCCTTCCTGACACCTTACACTAAAATTAACTCCAAATGGATTAAAGACTTAAACATAAGACCTGGCACCATAAAAACCCTTGAAGAAAATCTAGGCAAAACCATCTAGGACATAGGAGTAGGCAAGGACTTCATGAACAAAACACCAAAAGCATTGGCAACAAAAGCCAAAATAGACAAATGGGACCTAATGAAACTCCACAGCTTCTGCACGGCAAAAGAAACAGTCACTAGAGTGAATCGGCAACCAACAGAATGGGAAAAAATTTTTGCAGTCTACCCATCTGACAAAGGGCTGATATCCAGAATTTACAAAGAACTCAAACAGATTTACAGGAAAAAAACAAACAAGCCCATTCAAAAATGGGCAAAGGATATGAACAGACACTTTACAAAAGAAGACATATATGAGGCCAACAATCATATGAAAAAATGCTCATCATCACTGGTGATTAGAGAGATGCAAATCAAAACCACATTGAGATACCATCTCATGCCAGTTAGAATGGTGATCTTTAAAAAATCTGGAGACAACAGATGCTGGAGAGGCTGTGGAGAAAAAGGAACACTTTTACACTGTTGGTGGGAGTGTAAATTAGTTCAACCATTCTGGAAGACAGTGTGGCGATTCCTCAAGGCCTTAGAAATAGAAATTCCATTTGACCCTGCAATCCCATTACTGGGTATATATTTAAAGGACTATAAATCATTGTACTATAAGGACACATGCACACGAATGTTCATTGCAGCACTGTTTACAATAGCAAAGACCTGGAACCAACCCAAATGCCCATCGATGATAGACTGGACTGGGAAAATGTGGCACATATACACCATGGAATATTATGCAGCAATCAGAAATGATGAGTTCGTGTCATTTGTAGGGACATGGATGTATCTGGAGAACATCATTCTCAGCAAACTGACACAAGAACAGAAAATGAAACACCGCATATTCTCACTCATAGGCGGGTGATGAAAAATGAGAACACATGGACACAGGGAGGGGAGTACTAAACACTGGGGTCTATTGGGGGAAAAGGGGAGGGCCAGCGGCGGTTGGGGGAGCTGGGGAGGGATAGCCTGGGGAGAAATGTCAAATGTGGGTGAAGGGGAGAAAGGAAGCAAAACACACTGCCACGTGTGTACCTATGCAACTGTCTTGCATGTTCTGCACATGTATCCCAAAACCTAAAATGCAATAAAAAAATTTTTAAAAAATACCACAAACCGAATTCAAAGACAAAAAGCGAGAAGCAGTTGTAAAATACACAACAATTTCTTTTGTAAAATACACTCAGAAATATATGAATATTCAGGGAAAAGGATATGAACTCTGTCAGTTTATGTGAGAGACAGAGAGAAAGAGAGAGAGAGAGAGAGAGAGAGAGGGAACATTTATTTAAATTTTTTTGTCTATCACATTGGCAAAGATTTGAAACCTTGCTAATACCAAATGTTGATAAGAATAAGGAACAATAGGCACTTTTGATGGGAACATCAATAGGAACAACTGTTCTAAAAAACTATCTGCATTTATATCAATATTAAAATATATTTGCTTTTGATCACGTAATTAATACTTCTAGGAATTTAGTATTCTAAGGCTATATTCAGGCAGGAGCTTAAAAATAAAAGTACACACATTCATCATAGACCTTTTTATAGTAGTGAAAACTATAGGGAGTTAATGAATGACAGTAAATTTGTGTTTGAAAGACTTGCTTATCTATGACTACATCCCCAGGATCTAGCTCAGTGCTTGGTCTACATATAAACATTTACTGACTAAATGAACAAATAAATATAGTAGAAAATTCTGTAGCCATTAAGAATGATGCTGTAGATGTACATTTATTGCACTGGAAAACTATTCATCATATCTTATGAGAAGGAAAAGCAGATGACAAAACTGCATAGATAGAATCATCTCATTTTTGCATAAAAAGCAAATGTACGTGTGTATATATGTATGGAAAAAAGTTTAGAAGAATTTATACCAAAATATAAACTGTGGTTCTTCCTGAATGGTCAGATTATAGACGTTGTTTACATTCTTATTTATACCTTTAAGTAATGTCTGGATTTTTTTTTTTTTTACAATGAGCATGTATCAACAGATGTGATTTTGGTAATCACAAAATTTTCTTTCATTTTTGTTCCATAGGTTATTTTCTGAGGTACAGGTCGTGTTTCGTTGTGTAAGTTCTTTATTGGTGATTCCTGAGATTTTGGTGCACCCATCACAGGCACATATTTTAAACAAGCTTCCTGGTAATTTATACACCCAATAAATCGGAGAGCCACTTGCTCCTAGGACAGTATTTTAAAACTTTCCAAGATCAAGAGAATCACTCCATACTTTGACAAAAACACAGACCGACTAAATCAGAATTTTTGGAGTGGCCTGGGAATCTGTACTTTGAGAAGAATACCAGATAACTCCTATGATTTCAGGTCCAGGAAAGCCTGTTTTGTGGGATCTTTCTGTGGGACTGGGCAATGCCCAGGTAACCCTTCTCTCTCCCCACAAAGAAACTGGACTTGTAAAACCCAGCTTTACTGATTGTCATAGACAGTCTGGCAGAGGAAATAAAAAAGGGGGGATGTGTGTGAAGTGTCCACGGAGCTCACTGCTGGAGGCAGAGGGTTTTGTTCTGTGATTATGATGACAGAGGAAGTTGGGTGAGAATGGAGGAAGATATCAGAGTAATGGCTGTGAGTTTTTTAGCACTACTTGACAGGGCTCCTTCATCTTGACTTCTCTGAATTTACTGCCAAGTGCCCAACGTGGAAGCCAAGGAGCTGTGGGACTGGAAGGCATCTTCGTGGGCAAGTAAGGGTATCTCATGCCCAGAAAGAGGAAGAACAAGGTTTCTGTGCCAGCCCTTATTATCCACCGGCTGGCACCAAGAGAAGAACTAAAGAACTGGAGGGGTTTTTTTTGTTTTTTAAATTTCTGCACCTCCATATCCATGCTGTGACAGGACCCCTGTTAGTTTGCACTGGGCTTGTTTTAGGGTTGTCACATTTAGAGTATGTTTAAAGTGTTACATCACATGTGACATGAGTGCGCACACACACATACACATATAACAAACACATGCTGTGTGTATTGGGCTGCGTTTCTCGAACTGTAACAGACATTGGAATCACTTCCAGGGCTTGTTAAAATGTAACATGCCAGAGTTTCTAGCTAGTTTCTGATTCTGTAGAATTTCTAACAAGCTCCTAAGTGATGCTTGGACGTGGATATGGTGGGTGGGGTGGGGAGAGAGAAGAGCAAACTAAAACATGTTTGTGCAGGTTTGTTTATTTTATGGGTATAGGCAAAGCAATTTTGAAGTGACTTAAATGTATTACAGGATTGAGTAAATGAGTAAATCCGTGTGTGAGAGAAAGAAAACAAGAAAGAGAGGTAGGTTACTGGGTATCAGAGTTCTCACTGTGCAAGAAAGGACATATAAATAGGGAATGGGGAAGGCAGAAAAAAATCCTGTAAGGATATATTGCAATTGGAGGTGGAGGTGCTGGTATGAACTCATGATTTTAGAAATATGCACATGAGCATGTATATAAGAATGTTTATGTGTACATGGGTATTATGTATGTATGAATGTGTATATACATATTTGTATGTGTGTGTAAATAAATGTATATGTATCTGTTTCCTGACTTTGAGAGGGTAGACAACCAAAGTCACCCTAATAGCTGTGAGCACACTTAGTGCCCAGGTGGACTCTAACATTGTTTGATAAACCAGGATAAACCAGGGCTTATCAAAGAAGTGACACATTCTTGGACTAGGGCAGAATATGTACCAAATGAGTGTAGAACATCTGATGACAGAAAGTAAAAAAAAAAAGAAAAAGAAAAAGAAAAACATGAGCATGTCACAGGGACACAGGAGTCAGAAAGAAAGGGTTCTCATCAGTCAAATCTGGGAGAATTTGAGCATCAAAATAGTTAAGTACAGTAATGAATTGTAAACCACTAGAAAAAAAAAAGGAATGCCTGAGTCCACTCCAATAATAAATGCAGAATGAGAGGGAAGGAAGGCTCTTGTTGACTGTAGAAAGCTAAAGGCTGACTGGTAAACATGGCAGGGTGCTAGAGAGGGAAAATCATCTTAAAACCATGATGACAAAGATTAGATCAGGCAAGAATCAATAGAAGCTAAATCCATGGGGAATTCTGATGAGGGGTAGGATATTTGCATGATCTGAAAGCATTTCCCCATAGCCTGCTTATTAGTTGTAAGGAAGAAAATAAAACAGTGATTATACAGCACAGAAATCAGACAACACCTTGATCCCTTTGACTGAGTGATCCAAATGAACTCACCAGTTAAGTGAGGGACAGACAGGGCTTTCAGATGCCATCCCCTGAAAAAACGACACTGTGACCTATCCCGCTTTCTGGGTAAGAAAGCACAACCTCCAACTAATCTCGAGGAAACGTCAGGTAAACCTGAAATTAGAACAATCTTATTTTAAAAGAGAGCATGCCAATATTGCAAAAGACAAAGATTGTGGAAATGTTTTATATTAAAAGCTGTAAAAGAGATATGACAACCAAACCCAACACTGAATCCTGTATTGGAGGAAACAATGCTGGAAAGGCCGTGACTGGATCAACTCAAAAAACTGAACTGTGGCTATCTAAGAGACTACCCCTATTCTAAGGAAATATACTCAAGTATTTAGGGCTAAGGGGCCATGATGTATGTAACTTATCCTCAAGTCGTTCCGTGAAGAAAGTCTGTGTGTGAATGAAGGCAAGAGCGCATGCGCAAACGACAAAGCCAGTGGGTAAAATGTTAACGACTGGTCGGTTGCTCAATGTTGACAGTGGGGTAAAGGGAATACTGACGCTTTCTGTAGGATTTTAGTTTTGCAACTTTTATAAACTTGGCATCGTTACCAAATAAAAATGTGAAACATCATGTTTTTGAATGTTTAATGACATTGAGCTAGGTTTATTGTAAATTCCTTTTTTTTTTTTTTTGCGCCGGGTGCGGTGGCTCAAGCCTGTAATCCCAGCACTTTGGGAGGCCGAGGCGTGTGGATCACGAGGTCAAGAGATCGAGACCATCCTGGTCAACATGGTGAAACCCCGTCTCTACTAAAAATACAAAAAATTAGCTGGGCATGGTGGCGCGTGCCTGTAATCCCAGCTACTCGGGAGGCTGAGGCAGCAGAATTGCCTGAACCCAGGAGGGGGAGGTTGTGGTGAGCCGAGATCGCGCCATTGCACTCCAGTCTGGGTAACAAGAGCAAAATTCCGTCTCAAAAAAAAAAAAAATTCCCTTTTTCAATTTTGTGAAAAATAAAAATTTTAAATGTTTTTATATGTGTACTTTTAAAAAGCTAGAAGGAAACAAACCAATATATGAATAACTATTATCTCTGGGTTGTGGGATTACGGGTATTTTGATTCTGTTTTATTGTTTACAATGTTTCATAGTTTCCACAGTTTCTACATGGAGAATGTATTACTTTAACAATTTGAGAAATAATTTCTCAAATAATAATTTGAGAAAAATTATTTTTGAAAGAGGTAAACAACTAGTCTGTAGAGTTTCATGTATAGTGTTGCTGACTGCAATGCCATTAATTAATAATAGCAAAAACAAAATGAAAAACCCCTGAAAACAACTGAAATGTCCCATGATAGGAAAGGTTGTTGGAAAGATTATGTAAAGAAGATATTTCTATAAAATCAAAAAAATTTGATTCCAAACCAACTTATGGACCAAGTTAAGTGCCTAAAAATAGGGGAACGGTTAAAGAAATTATAGCATAGCATAGCTGTGAAACAGAAGATCTGTAGAAGATTTTCTAGTCTAGAGTGATCAAGGAACAAAGGGATAGCATTTGCCTCTTCCTCTGCCATCTTGCAAATATCACCTCTCCATGTATATATGTTAAATAAATGAATGCTATTCATGATGTATTTGGGAAAGGGATGATGGAGTTACCAGAGATTTCTAATTGTCTCCATTATTCTCTTATGTATTTTCAAAAACTCCACCATAAATTTAATAACATGGGATTTTTTAAATTTAAAAAGTAACAAAATGGTATGTACCATCTCGTAGGGAAAGATGGGAAGGACACACACACACACACACACACACGGTTATCTGTGTGGGGTGCTGTGGGTGATTCCTGTATTTTTTTTGTTAGTATTTTACCCTGCAGCTCCAGCTCAAAGGATGTATATAATTATTTTACAACAAGAAATGAAGTTACTTATTTAATTTTTTGAGATGGAGTTTCTCTCTTGTTGCCCAGGCTGGAGTACAATGGTATGATCTTGGCTCACTGCAACCTCCGCCTCCAAGATTCAAGTGATTCTCCTGCCTCAGCCTCCCAAATGGCTGGGACTACTGGCATGCACCACCATTCCCAGCTAATTTTACATTTTTAGTAGAGACAGAGTTTCACCATGTTACCCAGGCTGGTCTTGAAATCCTTATCTCAGGTGATTCACCCACCTTGGCCTCCCAAAGTGCTGGGATTAAAGGAGTGAGTCACCATGCCCAGCCAAAAGTTACTTTTTAAAAAGCCGTTGGAATTAAAAAATAAATTATGAAATAAGATACAAGGACTTAAACATGGTAAGTATCTAGTAAATGTTAAAAAAAATTTACTAAGGCTATGTCATGACAAAAACAGGATCAGAAAAGTATATATATGCAGTATGATAATTAACTTTTTGGAAAAAAATCACCACGCTTGTGTTGAAGGCAGTGCTCTAAAATGATACTGTAGTTGTGTCTGAGTACAGTTATTGCTATAAAAGAAGAAACTATGGTAGAATGTTTTAGAAGCTCGCATTTTGAACATCTTTCACACATTGAATTGTCTTTCATAAAAGAGGTAGAATAAGAGGCCAAGGTGGGCAGATCACCTGAGGTCAGGAGTTTGGGACCAGCCTGGCCAACATAGTGAAACTCCATCTCTACTAAAATACAAAGTAGCCTGGCGAGGTGGCACAGACCTGTAATCCCAGCTACTCAGGAGGCTGAGGCAGGAGAATCACTTGAACCCAGTGGGTGGAGGTTGTAATAATTAGAGATTGCACCATTGCACTCCAGCCTGGGTGACAGAGCATGACTGTCTCATAAACAAACAAACAAACAAACAAATAAGAACTAGAATAAGGGGACCACCCCTGAAACACTTGGGATCATTTTCAACCTAGGAGGAGGGTGGTCACCCTGTGCTACTTTTTTTTAAATTTTAGTACTCAGATAATCGCACTGGGCAGTACCTTCTAGGGAGGCAATTTTCAGGCAAAAGAATTAGAAGAAGAAAGAGCCATTTAGTACTTTTCCTAGAAAGTGATCTTTTGGGATATGGGAGAGGCCCTTGATTATTTTAAGAGAGGCGCGTGCGAGCGCACACACACACACACACACACACACACACACACGAGAAAAGCCAGGGGCCATTTCTTAAGAATATACAAGAAACTGGTAAAAGGGATTTCTTCTAAGGGATAGGGACTCGGGGACTAGAAAACCAGGGATCACAGTTGGGAGGAAAACTTGTTTTTTTTTTCTGTATATCTTTTTATGCTGTCCAACTTTTAAAAAAAAGTGGTGCATATAGTATATGTTCAAAATATTTATTAATTAAAAACAATTCTTTCAAAAAATCTGCTGCTCATGGAACAACTGTGAAAACACCAACATTGGAGGAAAGCAAAATTTGTTTTCCTATGAAAATATGTTTTCCTTTAAACTGCTTAATTTCCATCTCAGAGAGATTTGTAAGTAACTTAGAACAGGACTTTCCAACACTTGTCTGCCCCACCCACATGTCTGTGCTTCTGTCTCCTCTGCTGTTTTCTTTGTTTATAGATAGCTCTTGGGCTACCATTATTGGGGACTTACTTTTGTTTCTCTAACGGCAGAGATGGATTTGGGCTAACCCCTTCCCCTGGTTCTTCAGGCTCCTTGTACCCAGGGAAGTGGCTGGCTGAATGTAAGTAACCATCACTCCCCACCAACACTGGGAAGTGAAACCTGGACCCAAAGGACACACAGTCTTCACCTCCTTAGCATCGTGCTTACAACATGTCTCTGCCAGTAAGTGACAGTTTCCCATGAGGCAGAAAAAATCTACCTGATTGGTTACCTCAAATCTGTACAGAAGCCAGAAAGCCCACCTACTGTAGGAATGCATTCGAGAGGGTGGGCTATCCTGAAACATTCCATCTTTATATTGACATCCACATAGCCACTCTGTGGTTAAAGGTATAGCCAAGCCCCCAGCTTCCCATGCCAGAAGGAAGGAGCCAGTCCTGTTTCCATTTTCACTCTCCACCATGTCTACTCAACGTTAGAAATAGCTCTCAAATTTTCCCACCCATTTTCTCCACCTTTGCTGACAATGACACACAATCAGACTCTCAGAATCTATCGCCACTTCTAGCTAGTCCCCTGTGACTTCGCCTCCCATTATCTCCCACTCCAGCATGCTTTCAAAAGCACAAATCGGACCATTTCACACCTTGACAGGTCACAACTTCCTCTGGGCTGCACAAACACACCAAATCCTTTGTCATCTCCTTTCAGTTTTATTTCCAGTTTCCCTGCCTGCTCCCACAGAACTTTGTTCCTACCCAGATCAGAGATGTTGTCAGTATTTATTTTCCTGCATGCTTCCTCCCTGTGAGCTCCCCCAGGATACGATAGACACCTCATTCCTCTTTCATGCCTTCATACGCAGCCTAGTGCCTGGCACACGGGAGGCACTTGATTAGCGTTTGGGCAAATACAGAAAAATGGAACTTTTGAGTGATATATCATGGCCATCAGTGGTGCTTCTCAAACTTTAAGGGACACAAGCATTTCCTGGGGATCTTGTTGAAATGCAGTTTCAGGTCCAGTAGGTCTGGGGTGGAACCTGAAGGTCTACAGTTCTTAGAAGTTCCCAGTTGAGGTCAATACTGCTGTTCAGGGAGCCACACTTTGAGCAGTGAGGGCCTATAGAACATTAATAACGTTTTTAGATGGAGGAGCATGTTGAATCAATGATTCCTCTAAGGATCTTGACGTTTTGAGTGAACTTTTGATTTCAAAAATATCAAAAGAAGTTAACAGATTTTATAAACACACACAAACACAGAGTTATACAGAGTTAGTTACGGATCTATAGGTCATTCCAGAAATAAGGTTAAAATAAATAAGGGAGTAAAAATAAGAGTCATCCGCCCTTAAATTCTCAACACCATTATTCTAACTTGCCACGTGAATTCACATTAGGATCAGCTAGGAAGCTGTTTAAGCTGCACACGTTCTTCCCCTTCTCTCGCTCCAATCTGATTTGCTCTTCTAGAGTAATAGGAAACCCTCAGTCCATGGCTCCCACCACTGAATAAAACAGCTTTGGAGAATGCTTTTGTAACTGATGGCAATGTATTGTGTCACTCAGACGTGCTGGGGAAGGAACAAGATTTTAGCTTCATGGTAATTCCAGTCTACGAACTCTTCTGCAAAAGGAGTTTAGCCAGGGCCTCCACACACGCTGTTGTTCCCTCTGCCTGGAAGCCTCTTCCTCCATTTCTGTCCCAAGTCCTCCTCATCCTCCAGATCTTCGAAATGGTCCCTTCATCACACCTTAAACTTCTCCTTCCTGAAACGCGCGCACGCGCACACACACACACACGTGCTCATGAAACATGTAAACAGCTATTTGTTTTCTTGCTGCTAGACTGTGAGTTTCAAAGAAAAAGTGTGTTGTACATACCATTCCCAGTCCTAAGCATGGAACTTGCTATAGCAGGTGCAGAAATGAGTAAAAAAATGAACTATTCTTTCCGTATTTAATGAAGTTCCCTCTTTCACTTATTTGATTCTCCTGTTCTCAATTGGCTGAATATAATTCCTATGAACTGACATTTAGTATGGAGCTAGGACCTGCTTAAATGACAATACATCTTGAGGTTTGTTTGGTTCGAATTGCTTGGGTTGGGGAATCAGACAAAAGCAATGTTTCCTCCTCCACAATGTTAAAAATAAATAATTACTGCCAACCAAACACTATGTATCATATGTGTAAGATATGAAGCACAGTAACAAAATGAACAGCTATGAGCCCACCACCCGATAAAAGAACTAGAACATTAGTTGCCTGGTGAAGCTACAGGGTGTTCTCGACTCATCTCCCTGTCTTCCCCTATCAGAGGTAACTACTCTTCTAAATTTATGTTTATTACTCATTTTAAAAAATTGTTTTTATAAATCACAATTAACTTATGCATTCCTTGTCGGTGAACGTTTCGGCTTTTTCTCTCTCTGTGTGTGTGTGTGTGTCTTAGGAACAATGCTGCCATGAACAGTCTTTGCATGTCCCTAGGAGCATTTATAAATTTTCCTATAATACATGCCAAAGAGTGGAATTGCTAGATATATGCAGGTCCAGGTTGATACGATGATGCCAAGTCATTGGCATCTTTTCTGTGTTTTTTGTAGTAAAGGTGCCAATTTATTTTCCTTTCCACCAGCAGTGGATAAGAGTTCCTAGTGACACATAATCCTTGCCAACAGCTTGTCTTGCTAGAACACAAGCAATAGAATCTCAAGCTGCAGCACTCTGGGGCCAGAAGGTACAGCTCCTGCGTGGATAGGCTATTTCCTTCTGGCCACCTGACAAGAAATTGGCCCCCTGGGCCTTACACATTGTTAAGTCCTGAACTGCGGACACAGCACTAAACTTAGAAGAGAGTAGGGCTCCAACAAAACTTCCCCATGGATAGATACACAGTCATCATAGAAGGCAATCAATCATAGACTGTGGCACCTGGAGGGGACCCTAAAGCCAAATCCTTCATTCTACATTTATTGAGACTGAGGCCCAGAGGTTAATACTGTAGGAACCTTTTTCTGGGGCACTTGATTCTTAATCCAGAGAAGGTTTCTTTCATTTTTGTTCTTTTGTAACTGAAGATGGTGTAATATGATCCATTACATTAATAGTGACTCTAATATTCAAATAACTGACCAGTTTATTTTTATCGATTGATTGATTGAGACAGAATCTCACTGTTGCCCAGGCTGGAGTACAGTGGCATGATCTCGGCTCACTGCAACCTCTGCCTCCTGGGTTCAAGCGATTCCCCTGCCTCAGCCTCCTGAGTAGCTGGGACTACAGGCGCACACCACTACGCCTGGCTAATTTTTGTATTTTTAGAAGAGATGGGGTTTCACCTTTTTGGCCAGGATGATCTCAATCTCCTGACCTTGTGATCTACCTGCCTTGGCCTCCCAAAGTATTGGGATTTCAGGTGTGAGCCATGGTACCTGGCTGACCAGTTTATTTTTAAAAGGTGCTTAAGTGACATAAATTTGATAACTTTCATTTATTTGGTTATGAAGTAAACAGGAGCGATATTATTCGATGGGATAAAGAAACCACAATTATAGTTTCAATATGCAAATTTAACTATACTGAGACACTGGTCTCATGGGGGGAAAACAGTCCCCAGTTATCTGATTGATCATTCTTGTCCTTGGATCATTCTACATACCCCACCAGGCAAATACTAGGTACCTCTTTAAAAAGCCATTTTTGTGAGTAATGAAAATGTAAAGTTCATTAAGTTCAAAATCATCTTCCTCTTAGGAGCACTCATAATTAGGCTATACTAATATTCTGGGAATGATCTGTGGAGATTATGGCAAAGTAGGCCCAGTAACTTGTTGGTTTCTAATCCACACGTGAATGTGGAAAAACGCCAAGAAGAGACCAATCTGCAGCAGAGGTACTTAGCGCTCTTCAGAGAGTGCACAATACCCGAATGTGGAAAAGTCTAGGCAGAGGCATCTGTCTGCATCCATTAGACAGCAAATATGGAGCTGGGAGGAGGAGGAGTGCTTCCTAACAGGATGGGTGTTGGTGTGAAGAAAGGGGGCTTTCGAAACCTATTGTGGAAATTTTCCTTCTGGAGCTGTGTCCTTCAGTAATTCTCTTCCTCCCTACCCCTTCCCATCTGTCTGGTCCTCTCTACACCAAGTCCCCTTTGACCATTTAAAGATATCTTTTGGTTTAACAACGTCTACAGGCAGATGATGAAAGCTTTCTATGAGGCAGCCCTTTTTAATGTCAGGATAAAACCCAGGAGCTTTTTATTACTCTGGGGTGGGGGGCTTGGAGGGAAAGAACACCAGGTAATTTTGAGCAGGAATGCTGACCAAACAGTACTGAGGTACGTTTGGTTCCAGTTTTCCTCCTAGCAGTCATTTTAATCAGCACTTCCCCTTTTAATGAGCTGGTAGTGCTATTACATAATCACCCAACTCACTGGATTAATGATGAAAAGAGGAACTGATTTTTCCAGTTGCATCATTTGAAGTAAATGTTAACTTTCTTTCTGAGTCCTTAGTTAACCGCATTAGTGTGACAAATATGTCTTTGTCTAGCATAAGTAATTAGAATTTAATCACTTTAACTGCATCTTAATTACCCCAAATGAATTGAAAGGACATTTAATAGCAAAGATTAAATTGCCTTAATGAACGATTTTTGTGACTCCATCAATACTCGAATTGCGTTAGCCACTCCTCTCACGCACTCCAGTCGCAGAATCTGCAGCGAGCACAGAGGTCACTAGGTGGCGCGCTTCGCTCGTTTGTTTATTTAATTTTCCCCATTGATCTGTTTTAGAAGACAACAGGAAAGAAAGCAAAAAGCACATGGTTTATTGTGTGCCTTCGATAACCTCTCTTTGGGACTATGAGATCATCACCAGATGTGAAAACGAAAGCAGTGATTTCAGAAACCGTAGATTTTGAGTACCCCGTGGCATAGGCAAAGGAAGATGAGATACACATGGTGACTGGAAACATGCAGTGTTTGAAAGAAATTGCAAGATGCCCTTTAGACAACTGCCAGCCTATATACAGAATTTTGGTCAATTTATTATTTTTTAGTGCAGAGCCCTAAAACATGAGTTACAGACAAGCTTTGAAATAGCAAGGCAGGCACTGACTGACGTGGAGCCAAGAACTGTAACTGCTGACCAAGTGCAGATCAGAACACAATTCCATGGTGGCGCGTACCTGTAATCCCAGCTACTCGGGAGGCTGAGGCAGGAGAATTGCCAGAACCCAGGAGGCGGACGTTGTGGTGAGCCGAGACGCGCCATTGCACTCCAGCCTGAGTAACGAGCGAAACTCCGTCTCAAAAAAAAACCCAAAAACCAAAAAACAAAAACAAAAACAAACAAACAAAAAAACCCCACAATTCCTGAAAGTAGGGGAGGATCTGGGCCCTTGGACCCTCTTCCAAGGCAAGGGACCCAATGGACCAGCTCCACCTACAGGCACATCTAATGAGATGGGTCTTGTCCATCAAAAATTAAGTGAACAAATGGATGGGAAGGCTGGGGTTCCACATCTACCTCTAGTACTCCCTCACATTTTCTGGCTGCTTCTTCAAAAGAGAATCATAAAAAAAATCTCTTTTACAACTCTTGAGTATAACAGAAATAAGTTTTCTTAAGTGACTGTCTTTGAGAGTCCCAGAGGAAAGACACACTTTCTCTAATTGCAAGAGATTTATTACGTAGAGATTTTCAAATCAGTTATTTCCACCTTCTGGGCTCTACTAACCTGGCGGAGCTGCCCTGGCAACAGAAGCATTGGGTAGAGGATAAAAGGTTCTGGGCTTTGAACTGGGAAAGCTGAGTTCAGGGCATCAGTGCCTTGAAAGAGTTCAGGGCATCAGTATTTTCCAGCGGTGGTGTTGTTGTCACAGGTAGATTAACCTCACTGAAGAGAGCAACAGGGAAAAAAGCAATAACTACTACATAGTCTGATGGCTCCCAAACTTGGCCACACATCACAATCACCTGGGAGTTCATAAAAATCCCAATGCCCATGTCACATCCTGTACCAATTACATTAAAATATCTGGAGCTGCAGCCAGGCATCAGTTTTTTACAGGTCTCTAAGTGATTCCAATGTATAGCAACATTTGGGAGCCACTGGTATCAAGGGTGAGTTCTCAATGAGTACATCTATGTTCCTATCACAGTACCCAACAAACAGAATGTGCATAAAAAACTTAAGCTTCTTCCTTATTGGTTACTATGACAAATGAGATGGGTTGTACTTTAGGATCTAGTTCTGCCCAGCTGTTGTATTATTAAATTGCCTCATCTAAAAGAGAAGAAAATTTCCATTTTTTCAACTTTTAACTTCAAGGGTACATGTGCAAGATGTGCAGGTCTGTTACATAGGTAAACATGTCCCATGGTGGTTTGCTGCACAGATCAACCCATCAGCTTGGTAGTAAGCCCAGCATCCACTAGCTATTAAGAGAAGAACATTTCTAGAAGTTAATTTCTTCCAATTTTATGATAATGTAACATCTCTTGGGAGAGACATGTGGATGATTCTATAGCAAGGCCCTGTGATAAATAATTTTTATGTTTGTATCAAAATAAACAGATTGCCTGTGATTGGTCTAGTCACCTTGCCCAGTTTTATTATCCCAGGAGGAAATTAAGCTTTATTAGTATTAACACACTTGTATTAAAATAAAAACCTGTACAACCCTATTGATAGAAGGCAGGAATTTATGATTGTGCACTAAATCCATTCACATAAGAAATACTTTAAAAAAATGTTTTACTGAACTCTATGAGACTGACATTTTTTCATGTAGAAATAATGTGCGTTTATTCTCTCAAAGATGCCCATGTCATGTCCTATACCAATTACATACAAATATCTATTTAAATAAATGCCATCTTATTTAAATAGCGATACAATGAGAATATTATTTAATAAATGTGTCAAATGTTTTTCTCCAGCATTATAAGAAATGCACTCTTTAACAACCACAACTTTATGAACACCTTTCTTCTGTTTCTACCCTAGGTTTGGGGCCATTCAATTTTACCAAGAGTGTGGAAATCCTGCTGTTTTAATAGGGGATGAAATGAAACTAGTCATTTCTATTTCAACCCATCAAGGCTCCTAGATTGATATAAAATATTAAGTCGGTGTTTACATATTCCAATATATGGACTTTACAAAGAGCACGAGCACTGTCACTTGAGAAACAAGGCCTGGAACTGAGAAGCAGGATACTGGAGAGCCTCCTTTTTAATTACCCACCTCTACCAGACTTGAGGGCTTTCTGTCTTACAAGAAAATCCGGAATAAATTTTGTTGGTATGCTCTGTAAGAACGATTTCTTCTGATAACCTGGGATAGCAGCATTTGTTTGATTAGCAGAATTTGCCATGAATGTGGAAATGATGACATCAAAACAGCTCGTGTAACAGCCTCCTTAAAGACCTCGTAGATTAGAGGTGACTATAGATTTTCCCCAGCGCGGATCAAAAGGACTGAATTGAACGTTTTAGCTTAATGATCCAACCCCTGTCACACCCACAGGGACGTGAATTCCGATTTTATAAGCAGGTGCGCACGTGTACTTAGATGCACAAAGCCGCATGGAGGGACGAAAAGATTAACCACTGGATCGACGAGGATAGGTTTGATATTTCCGATTACCTCACTGTGCCAGTGTATATTCCTGGCTGGGCCTTGTGCCCTTATAAACTTTGGAACTTTAGCTGTTAATTTTTGTTTTCTTACTCTGACTTCCCAAAGACATTCTATCTGCCCACCAGGGGCAAAGAGAAATGGGACAAAGCGACAGGGCGGTGGGACCCTGTCCAGGGTCCTGACGCCGCGCCAGGGCTCCAGGCCAGTCGGCCTTCCAAGGCCCTTTCACCCACCCTACTCGAGAGGAAACAAAGAATTCCCAGCTCAAGGCCTCAGGGCTGCCTCCTGACTCCGGTCAGTTTGCAGGAAGAGGAAACAACAAAACAAAGGAACGACCGATCCGCCGGGTCTTATATTCCTCAGCTCCAACGTCGGACTTCAGACTGCCAGGGTCACCTTCTCTACTCTGACCCTGCTTTTCTTAAATAATGAAAACATGCCAACAAAAGCATACTTCGGATACAAACTCCAACCACGCAACTTGTTTGGGGAGGTTAGAGCTAGGCTGTACTTCAGGGGATGAGAATTTCATCTTCATGAATTGGGTAATACCCAGGCATTGCTGGGGAGCTCGACAGACCCTCTGATACCCTTCTCTTCCTCCTTCACACCTTCTTCCTATTACAATAGTTAATGTTTTTAAATTCACTAGGACACCGACGTTTTAAAAACAAAGGCGCAGCAAGCATCCCTTTCCTCTCCGCAGCGGGCTGAGCCGCTGACGCTGGCCGGGCGCCCTGCCCCGACGGCCCGCAGGGGGCGCGCGCCGCTCTGCAGCTCAGTCGGGCTACCCTAAGAAGGGGAGCGGCATGGAGGGAAGCAGGGAGTGTGGAGGGCTCGAGTCTTGCAGATAAGGAGAGGAGCATCCTGGGATTTGGGTCTTCTGTGCTATAACTCAACCGTGCTATTGTTGGCACTGTCCGACCCAAGTGTCGATTGTAAGCGGTGACATCGGGGCTGAGCCGTTAGCGACCGCGGTGCCCTGGGCCAGAAGGGTCACCCCAATTACCGGAATCCCTCTCCGGATGTTTCCAAGGTGATAGGGGCTGCACCCGCTGACGGGATAGCAGCACACCCTCTGAACAGGTAGTGGAATTTGTCTCTGGCAGGCGTCCTAGCTGCGCTGATACCAAGGTCGCCACACAACAGCCATCAGGCCCCCTCAAGCCCCAGAAGCAGGTTTCCCCTGCCCCAGCCATACTAGCGGCTCCAGTCATCCCCACGAGCCCACTTCTTCTTATCCCCAAGCGCAACCTCCTCTCCTCATCGGGGTTTGTGGCCGTTACACGGAGAAAACTATGTTCCCATACCCTCGAGGGGACAGACACTGGCCGAGAGACAGGCACCATGCAGAGCCTTCTGGTGACTGTCCCAAGAGCGAGACCTTTTGGTTTCGCAATCGGCAGGTGTGTGTGTGTGTGTGCGTGTGTGTGTTTGTGTGTGTCTGTGTGTCCCCAGCCCAATTCTGGGACGCATTGCCACTTTTAGGCCTGGCAGGCTCTGGGACCCCTTGGTCTCCGCAGGTAGCTATCACAGGCCTTCGGAGGAGGCGCTCCCCGCAGGCAGCGCCCCTCGCCGGGGCTCCGAGGCTGACACGGTTGGTCGCGCCCTGTCGGCCCTTTGTTCGCCCCGCAGCTAGCTGGGAGCAGCTGCGCGGCTCCAGAACCCGAGACGCGAAGCGCCAGGAAACCGCTGCGCTTGACGCCTTCTCCCCCCCACCCCCCCGCTCTTGGGCCCAGAAACCCTTCCAGCTCCTGCGTCCCACCCGCCCAGTCCTGGCTTCTCTCCCCGCCCAGGAGTCTTCCAGGATTTAAGGGCGCTGCCCAGGGGCCCGCACTCCTGCCTGGCTCCCATGGCCCAGAAAAGCGGGGGACAGTTGAAATGTCACCCCTGGGATAAATATTAACAAAAAAGCAAATGGACTTGTGCGGGGGTCAGTTATCAATCAACCAGGCGGCAAGGCCACTCAGGGCAAACACAGCCCAGGTTGGGCTGGGCGAGACTTTCTCATGGCCGCTTCCCGACCGAACCCCCCCCCCCCCCCCCCCCCCCCGGGCTCAGGTCCTTCTTCAGGTCTTTCTGGGGCAAATGCGGGACAGGAAGGGGGCGCAGTCCGGGTGCTGGAGGCCCCGCCAACTCCTCCGGTGGTTTGGAGGTATCCTCCCCTCCAAGTCTCGCAGGGTCGGAGTGCCAGACACCCACCCCCGCCTGAACCTCGGGCCTGCGCGCCGCCTTCTTTTGGGTCCGCGGTGCTGCGCTTGCTGGTGGGTGTGTGTCGCAGTCTCTTTCCGAGCTGGCAGCCCCAGCCGAGGCTGAAGCCCTCTGGAATCTTTAATTGGAAACTAATCTTGCATCTTGATAGGTGCCCACGTCAGAGGCGGGCCACCCACCTACCCTCCCGCCTCATCCGGGAGGAGACGCGGTGAGAACCTTGTCGCTCTGCTCTTTAATGGGGCTGCAGCAAGTAGTACATGGAGGGAACATATATTGATTTTTAAAAGGTAGTTAATTTGGTGAGAATTTTCTCCCGTTGCCGGTCTTCCACCAGCCACTCTTATTTCGTGACCAGAAGGCGCCTGCCCAAACACCGTGCCACGTGCAGAGGGTTTAGACCCTCTGCAACAGGCTGTCTGGACCTGGAGGACGGGGGGGGGGGGGGGGGGGGGGGCGTGGAGAAGCCACCACTCTTTCAATGCTTAGAGAAGGAACTGAACTCAGTGAGCTCTGACCTCGAAAAGCGAAAAGCAGTTGAAACGAGACTGGGGGAGGGTCTCTGAGCGCAACAGCAAGGAATGCTGCCAGGGGCACTTCCCCATATGGGAGCTGGTAGTGGGGGCAGGCACTAATATCCCGTAGCAACTAGCAACGGCCAAGCGCTCTTCAATCCGTTTCAAGGCCCTTGCACTCAGCCCGCCAGAGATCACTTGGAAAGTTCAGAAAACAACCCACTCTTTTTAAAATATGAAAATGTTAATGAGATGGCTTTCTTCAATAACTTAAAAATAGGTTGTGAAGGGACTGCTCCTGGTTCCTTGCAGGAGATCCTCCTCCACCAGCACAGCACCCTGAATCCTAGCCCTCTCCACCATCCCTTTTAGTTAAGGAAACAAAAATGTAATAGACATACTTCCTCAGGGTCTCAGGACACAGGTCTGCTTGGTGTTTGGTGCGAAATGGAGACTCCAGCAGGGAGTTTCATTTTTTCGAGGAAAAGGCCATGGATCTGGGACTGAGGGCTGCATGGTTCTCCAAAGGTTGCTTGGTACCCAGGCAGGCGCTCCTTCGATAGCTCCCTGGGTGCCATAAGCATCTGCCAAGCACCAGGTTTGCTCCCCTAGCCTGGGAGACCCAGCACTCGGACTCCCTCCCCCTCCACAGTGCTGTCCCCTAAGCTCAGCTCTGTAGCTTTCCGTGCTTGGAGGTCAGAGGGCGCTCCTGCAGCCAGGTTTCCAAGGCTCAGAGGTCGCCTCTGAGTGGAACGTGTCAGTCTGTCCTTCCAGGGGGCGACAGCAGGCGGGGAAAGAGGGGGAGGTGGGACTTGGAAGTCCAGAGCAAGAGCCTCCAGGGGGTGGGGGTGGGGGTGGGGAACGAGTTTTCCCGGAGGGATACACTTCTCCATTTCTATCTTCTTCCCACATTCCCCTGCCCCACTCTTTGGCTTCCGCAGGCACTGCCTGGGTTAGAGGCCCTGAAGTGGGGCTCTGGGGTGGTGTGGGTGTCTGAAAAGGCACTACTTTGGGCTCCGGAGAGGCGGATAAGTCAGGGAGTGGAGCAGCCCCTTCGCCCACTCCCTCCGGAACCTCAGCTGCTCGCGGGGTCTCGGTTAGCCCTCTGGTGGAGACTTGGTGCTGGCAGCACCAGGGCTAGAGAGTGGAAACTCGGGAGCCAGCAATTCGCGGAGGCACCCAGCCAGCCTCTTTTCCCCAGACTGGCTGCAGGAACCAGCCTAAGGACTTTGCCTGGGGCGAATGAAGGCAGGGCTGGGCTGGAAAACCTGGCAGGGCAGTCTCAGCCAACATAGCGCTTTGGGACCGGAGGCCTGGAGCGCTGAAACCCAAAGAAAGCTTTGGGTCGCTTTGGGGCACGAATCTCAGGCTGGTCGGCACCTGCCACCCCCTAGCTTCTCATTGGCAGGCAAGAGTTGGGGGAGGGAGCCTTGGCCTCACGCTTTGATTTTAGACTGTGAAACGGCTCAGTGCCCTCGGCTCAGAGCGGATTGACTGTCTCTCATTCTCCAGGGACGAATTAATGGAGAACGATCAGTTAATTAACAAACCCCCATTCCGGCTTTTACCTTTTCTCTACGCCAAGGCTCAGGCCTGGGCGCCGGGCTGAGGTGGAGGTGGAGGGGGGTTGGGGATGGACCCAGGAGTCAATCAACTTGGCAACAGCCGCCCGGATCTCAGCAAACCCAGGCCACCCTCCGCTGTCCTTAGCACTACGTCCCCTCCTGTTCTCCATCCTCAAGGGTCGCCGAATCCTCCTGAAATCCCCGGTGGGGTTCCGGCTGAGCTCAGCCGCCTTCCCGGCCTATCCTCAGTCTCCTGGAGCCAGGCGCCGTATCTGCGCCGCACCAAGGAGACCTTCCCGCTGAACTCAGAAACACCTGGGGCTTGAGGTTTTGGGCAGCAGACCTCTGTTCGTCATTTACACACTCCCATCCCCAAACACCCCCCCCCCCCGCCCCGCACGGGGATTCAGACGAAAATTGTGAAAAGGAATAATAAAATGAAATGCAAAGTCCTAAGGGAGTCGGCAGCAAAGGCAGTCCCAGGACTTGGCTATCGCTTTGCAGCTCTCACTGGGACCTTGGGACAGTCAGCCCCCCTCTCCTTTCCACAGCCGATTCCATGCTCAGAGAGAGTGCTAACCCTTCCACGTCGTCTGTCTCCCAGTGGCTTCGGAACTTTCTGCCCACACTCGTAGATTGCCGTCACCCCAGCCAGCGTCAAAAGAATGAGCTCGGGAGAGGGTCACAGCAGTCAGTTCAGCCAACATGGACTCACCTCCGGCACGCTCCAGCCCAGTGCCGGGGATGTGTCAGAGGTACCTGCGAGGAACATCTACGTGGAGTTCTACGCATGCATTGCCTCCCTCTTCCAAACCCGGAGCGCTAAACTGAGAAGCGGCGCAGTGTCTCTCCAGATGCAGGGATTTCTCTCCGCCTCAGGCGGTGCGAGCGTTTCCCTCGCTGTTCCGGAACACAACTGCGCCTCTTCAGTCGCCAAGGCCCTACCGCTTAGCTCTCAGAGCCTTCAACAGCCCAACACACTGAGCCTTGGAATAGGCAGTTTTCTCCCACAGTGCTGGTCCCTCCAGGCACAGGGAGTCCCCCTTCTGCGGGTAGGGGACGGCCGGGATGAAGGGCACCCGGCCGTCTTTCCTACCCTCCCTCCTTTGGTCCCTTCGGCTTTCGGGTCCCTTATCCCCCGCGCGCCCAGCACCTTGGCGGGCTCACCTGCTAAGCGGAGCGCGGACATGCGCTGGAACTCCGGCTCCTGCAGCCACTTCCACATTCTCCGGAAGGTCTCTCGGCCGGATTTGAGTTTGCTCCAGGGTTTGGGGTTGCGCAGCAGGTCCGAGAGGGTCCCCTGGGAGCGGCAGAGCACCCTCTGAGCGAAGATGGCCTGCGGGATGCTGTAGCGCTTGAGCTCGGTGGTGATACGCTGCGCCACCTCTTTGGTATTGATCTCTTCCATCTGCCCTGAATTACTTCCATTGCTGACCTGCGCGCTGGTCACCGAAGGGTTGGGCTCCCGGGCTGTGCCCAGGAGCTGCCCGTGGCCCTGGGCATTCAGGTGGGCGTGGGGATGGTGCGGAGGAAGGCCGTTGATGGGCACCATGCCGGCCGAGGTGGGCGTGAGGTGCTGCTCCCCGTGGCGGCCGAGCATGGCCGGGTGGTGGGCTTCGAAGCCGTTGGGGGTGAGCATCTTGTCGGTGGGCATGGCGGCGCCCGGGTGGGCATAGTGGGGGAGCCCTTGCTGGGAGTTGTGAATGCTGCCCAGACCGGAGCTGGAGAGGGGCGAGAGGCTCTGGCCCATGCCGGCCACGTCCTTGTGGTAGGGGGTATAGAGGTTATTCATGGAGGCCAGCCCGCGCTCATCCCGCATGAGCGTGAAGCTACCGCTCACGTTGCCCGCCAGGCGCTGGTGGTGGTGCGGGTGGTGGTGGTGATGGTGGTGGTGGTGATGGTGGGGGAACTTGTCCGAGACTGTGGAGATGGGCGGCAGCGGCTGCAGAGGGGTCAAGGTGGTGTAGGTGGTGGGCATGCTCATACCTGGGGGAGTCTCGCAGGCCATGGTCATGGTGGGGTGCAGGGGGCCGGCCAGGCTGTGCTCGGGGGCCCGGTGGTGGTGGTGGTAATCGCCGCCTCCGCTACCACCGTCCAGCAGGGACGCCATGCCCATGGAGCGCGGGTGCGCGGGGGGCAGGTGGCTGCCGCGGTGCGCCACGGAGCTGCGCGCGTGGGGGCTGCCGCCCAGCAGGTCGGCAGGGGCGGGCACCGGCTCATGGCTCACCCCGTGCAGCTCGCCGATCGCCTCCATGGTCAGCTGCGCGTTCATCGTGATCCCGGCGAGCGGGCGGCGGACACAACATCGATGTGGCCAGGCAGAGGCGGCGAGGGGCGCACGGAGTCCGGTCTTCACATCGGCTGCTGGCGACTGTTGCCTCCCTTCCTCTCACTGTGGGGCTCTGTCTCTCTCTCCGTGTGTGTGTGTGTGTGAGTGTGTGTGTGTGAGTGAGTGTGTGTGTGCGCGCGCGTGTGTGTGTGTCTCGCCTTCCCTCTTACCCCCCACCTTCCCTTCTGCGTCCTCGGCCTTTTTTTTTTTTAATATTAATTTCCAAAAAAGGATCCGCGCCGTTGGGAGAGCGCAGTGCCCCAGCCAGCCCGCTCCCGCCACCTCTCGCCCCTCTCTTTCTTAAAATTGTGAGGCCCCCGGCTCCCCCGCCGCGGCCCGCGCGCCTGCCAAGGCTGCTGCCTGCCCGCGCCGCTCACCAGCTCGAGCCATGGCTCGGTTACTGTTGCAGACTCTGGCAGCGGTTCGGTAGCCGCCGCCGCTGCCGCCGCCGCCGCCGCGGCCCGCCCTCACGCCCGCCGGGCGCAGCGCGCATGCGCACAGCCCAGCCCCGCCCCCTCGATCCCCGGGCGGCTGGCCCTGGACATCCCGGTACTACTGAAGGAGGGGGTCTAGCACCTTCCCAGCGGCGCCGGATAGCCCGGGAGCTGCGGGCACGTGCGAAGGACTAGCGCGGAGCGCGACTCGAGGCCGCCGCTGCAATCCCAGGAGACTCGCGCCTGGCTCGCCTCCCTAGCTAGGGTGGGCTCTGTCCTCCCAGGCCCGGGACGCTCGGTTTGGGCTCCTAGGGGCTGGCGCGCTATGCTTAGAGACATCGCCCCTCTCCCTCCAATTGCTGCTTCCCGGTGCAGGTTGCCCGGGGAGCTGGGGACTGTGTCAGCACCCCTTTGGCTCTGGCTCACTCAGATTTAATTTCCTGGGGGGCTGCTGGGAGTGCGCTTTCCCACCCTTGAATGCTCAGCCTATTGCGGGTGGGAGCTGGGCTGGGGTGGGGTGGGTGCAAATTGCTTCAAGGGCTGGGTCCGCTTGGCAGCAGTAGACCCGGCACCCTTCGTCCTCCCGGATACATATCTGCTCACTCTTTCTCATCCATGCCCTGTGCAATGACGCACTCAGTGCCAAGAGTCCTAGTTTGGGCCATACCTCACTGTCCCCCGCCTCCTGGCTCCTTCTCCCGCTCAGCTCTTAATTAAAGCTGTGCGTCCGCTTCGCCAGACTCGGCCTGTGGAGGGAGGCGAGGGAGAGCGGAGGGAGTGCCCTGGTGGGTACTCGTGTTAACTTCCGGGTGCTGGTGAGGCCGCGGAGCCTCGGGCGGTTCCTGCGGTTGCTCCCAAGGCCCTCCTGCTAAAGCACCCAGAGGCGGTTGCTTTCCAGGAGTACTGACGCAGGCAGGGTGGACGCCGGCGCGCGGGCCTCTGCTTGGCCCATAGGGACTCCCTTTTCCCGGCGTCCCCGAGAGAAGCCTCCAGATTTGAAAATTAATTCAGCTTCGGGAGTAATTTCGCTCTTCCCGGAGTCACGCTCCAATCCGGAATCGAACCTGGTCTTTGGGCCTGGTGGGGACGCGTGCGGAGGCCCCCAGTTTGAGAGGTACACCCGGCCGCCACATGCCGCGGCTTTCTTTCATTTACAAAAGAAAGAAAAAAAAAATCCGCAACAAAAGGCAGAGCCGTGTCTGCTTAGGTGCTTTCATCCTTTGGAGAAAGGACAGATGTGCCCATTGTCCAGCCCGTGGCAGTTATGGCCGGGTCAGCGCCGAGCCTCAGCCCCAGGCAAGCAGTGGTCACAATGAGAACAGCCTCGTAGAGCCCGGGTATCTAGACTCAGATATGAAATAAAGTGTGTGTGGCATGTGCTGGGTCAAACTCAGACCGTAGGTTTGCCTGCTGGGTCAGGAACTGCAGCCCACCAGTGGTGTTTCCACTGCAAATGCTCCCAAGGCCTCGGAGACGTCAAGGCTGCGGTAGAGGTGGGAGTTAGGTTTCCAAGGCAAAAGTTTGGGCTGGACAACCCTCGGGGGAAAGTCCCCACTGGCTGAGGCAAGAGTAGGCCTATCTCTTTTTCCAGGTTCCTGCTACCACCAGGGCAACATCCTGATCCAGGTAGGTCAAGTTCAGTGGGTACAGTCAATGTGATTTCCTTGAAAGTGGCCATGTCCTGGGACTGAATACTCTGGCTGGTTTGATCACCCCATCCTGTCCAAACACTGCATATGGAGGTTCTGCAAATAATTCACCTCAATGGATTTCATGCCTACTTGCATAAGGAACATTTAGGAATTTAGGAACCTCCACAGAAGAAATGACATTTGATGGAAAATACACTTATGTAAAGGAACTCAGGGAACACAATTACTCTTTAAACTTATATCTATATCTACCTATTCATACATGCATACACACAAACACAAACATGTATTTCCTGCCTAGTAGATTATAAGTGGAAAGCTGCATCTTTGGTTTTTTTGTTTCTGTTCTCATTTCCTACAGCATAGAGCATGGGCCTTTCATAAGAGACCAAACAATGGGTTAAAGTAGCAGGCAGTCTTCCAGCTAAATGGTTGTCCCCCCACCCCCCAACATTTTAATCCCACTGAAATGATTGATTTGCCCTTATGACAACTCTCTTCCCAAAAGGCAGTTTGTTAAAAGAAAGAAAGAAATAAATATCACCAAGTGCACAAATTGTTCATGGTTTTCTCTTTGTGTAGCTAATTAGGAACCTGATCTTGGAAACCCTCCTTTATGTGAGGCTCTCAGCTGAGCCTCTGGAGTCCACCTGAAGAAGGCTGGCATCATGTGAGCTCAACTTCCCCCCTTCTCCAAGGGGATTTATGAAAAGGGGCCTGGCTCTATTTGGTCCCTGAAGAAGGAGCCAAAGAAAAGATCTGAACAAGCATGATATGTGTTGGGCTTGCTCAGTAATTTTTGATTTTTTTTCTAAAACCTTTAAAAAAAATCGTATGTGCAGGATTTGCTTGGGTTTGCAAATCTCCCTAATCTTTCTTGGCTATTCACACCGTTTATCTAACCATTGTTCTCCCCTAATTGACTGAGTTGCAGTGGTTTCTCAGTCAGAAACAACATTTACTGTATTCTTACTTGACCTCTAAAAATTTGTCTTCTAACTAAGGAAGTGATGGGTAGGAAGAATGCTCTTCTTAGGCCTAATTGAGGTGAATCTGCATGTGTAGAGGGAGGAGGGGCACTAGAGAGATTGTCAACTGCTGGAAGGCTGGGACTGCTTTTTGTCGTTTTATCCCTCTCCTTTCCCCCTTCCAGTGCTCAGAACAAAGCCTGGCACCCATTAGGTACACTATAGGGATTGAAGGAATTAGAGTCCACCTAAGAGTCTCTGGAAATTTAGTAGGCATACGTCAAGTCAATGTGTGTGATTGAGGGGGAGGACTTATTTTGAGCTACTTAGATTTTGAGTAGCTGCAGGAAATTTAAAGAAAAAAAATAGTGTCAATCACTAGCAAAAAATTACATGTATATATGTAAGAAAAAAGAAAATAAGACTGACTGGATGCTTGCTGCTGACAGTATTTTCAGTGTGAAAACAAGGAATTGAGGATGTTTATTTTGTAAATGTCAGGAGAAGAACCTGGGATGTGGGGTGAGCAGGTGCTGTCCTTCTTATGCTGTTTAGGCTAGAGCTTACCAGGCAACCCTACCAGGTTTAGCAAAGAAAAGGTGAAATGAGAATAAAACCATTCCTCCAAATGCTGGCCACATGAGCTTCTCTGAAAACCTTACATCGGTTTCAGAATTAATGCTTTAGTTCTTTTTGTGAGTAGTAGAGATGTAACACATGGTTCAGTCTCAGTTCTCAGGACCATTCCAAAGAAATGTTTCTAGCTCCTCCGAACCATGAAATGTCTACCTCCTATTTGTTGGACTCACAAACAGCGAGATCCTGGATGTCAGGGCAAATTCCTCCACCCAGGGATCCAGGGGGAGGCTGCCTCCTTGGCTAGAGCCCCAGGACATAACTTACTAGCATTTCTGATGCCAATAGCTAGTCTAAAATGAAACTCTTGGGGAGGAATCATTTCGTTGGTGTCTGGCTACAGTAGGGCACTAGCTAACTGGAGAGTGAAGGATTCGGTCCTGGGTGCTTTCTGTCAAGCTCTCCTGTTGCACCTCTGGAGAAATTTTATTCGGAAAATTGCTGTTGGCTTAGAGTAGAACACCAAGAAATTCTGAATGGGGTGGCCTGGTGATTCACTATTGAAAACCATTTTAAAAAAATCCCTCAATGACTTCTCTTCACTCTCTGGGGACCACGGAAGTGGTAACTAATTATGCTAGCCCCTTACTTTAATCTTTGTTACTCTTTTTAGCGTATAATTTTATTTATACCTTTGGCAACATTTTCCCTTCTCAAATTACAATTTTTGCTCGAGAAAATATTTTTAATTGGGCACTTTTTGCACTTTTCTCTGTTTTATCTACTTCTTTCCCTTCCATATCCCTAAGAGAAGATGCTCCATTAAAGGGCTGTCAGCTCGTGCCATCCGTAACTGACTCCAGGTTCTGGGAGTTGCCGAGGGCTGCCTGGGCGGCCATCCGAGGACATCAGACCACTCCGTTCATATCTCTGGTTACTTCATGGGCGGATTAAAAAACAAAACAAGCAAACAAAACCAAAAACAAATAAACAAACAACAAAAAAACTCCTGCTCTCCTGGGTCCTGGGGTAAACTAGAGGCTGCATCTCTTGGGTTGGAATCTGTTCTTGGCGGTCTCCTACTTCCTTGAGGGCTTTGTCATGGCTTCTAGCCAAGAGCGCTGTAGGGAGAAAGGGCATTGATGCCTTAGGGCTGAGGGAGGGGTTCCAGGCTCCTGGACTGCTCTCCCGCAGCTGGACCCCGAGCTGGCTGCGGCCAGCCCAATTGCGGGGGAGTCGGCCTCCTCTCACCAACAGTTCAGTGGGTTTTCTTTCTTGATCATAACTTCATGTCGTTGAAATAGTCTACAAAGGACACCAGCTCAGGCCTCGAGGGCTGAATTATCCAGAGTTGGGATGGCAGTTAATGCTTCTCTTCTTGTGCCTCCCCGCGCTGGGGCTCTGCGTTCCCTTAGCCGCGCGCGCCGGGGTAGACAGTGCCACGTTTAGGTGCTGGAGAGGACGAGGGAAAGGACGAGAGAACCTTCCACTGATTGATGCAGTTTCAGGCGACCCGAAATGAGGAAAACCCAGAAAGGGCTGACGGAGGGCAAAGTTGGCCCACGACAATCTTCAGGCTCACCATTCTCTTGCCCTGAAGGGATTGGGAAGGGCGGAAACTGAGGGTCACGGTCCAGCCGGGAGCCTGGGATCCGCGGGGCTTGGACCAGCCACCCCACCCTAGGCGGACTGGGGACTGGACCGCCCGGCCCGCGGCTCACTTAGCCAACGCCAAGTAATGCCGACCCCGGCCCAAGAGCAACAGCTGCACTTGGGAAGGAAAACTCTTTAAACAAATCATTTTGGTGTCTAATCAATTAGTGTTTGCCCAGTCAAGTACCGTAGATTTAACAGAATAATCGTTATCGCCCTTGTCTTTATTTGACCCGCAGACACCTAGAAGATTTGAAATGAAACGCCAGTGTTCCCGGCTCCCCACCCCTTGCCTTCCCCTAGCTCCAGGACCTGCTCGGCGGGATCCGGGCTTTTGCTTTCTCCAGGCCTAATCTCCTCTTTGCCTCTCTCTTCAGCCCTCCTTCCCGGTCATACTTTTCCACACTTTACCTTGTTTCCTTGCCCTTCCGACCCTGTCGGCCTTCCGAGCCTCGGTCTCCTCGTCCCCCCATTCTTCACTCCCTTGGTTGGCGCTAGAACCGGCCTCTGAGTGTCGGACACCTGGGTCTCTATGCGAGCGCACTCGCCTTTTGGCCCGAGAGCCATCTGGGCGTAGAATTAGGGAGTCATCAAGCATCCAGTTATCTTTTCCCTGGACCCTCACCCTCTTACCTCTTCCGGAACCAGCCCAAGACCTGAGGGGTTCTATGCGGCTGTTTAGCTTCTGTGGAGCTTTGAAAAAAACCTTTACGTGCTGTGTGGGGGTGGGGGCTGCCTGAGTCTCTCCCGGTAAATGCCGTGACCCAGGGCACAGGAAGGGGGTTGAGAGGAAAAGCTGAGTACAGCCTTGGTCCCTAAAACCCGTTTCCCGGCCCGGAGTTGGGCCTAGGGGCGGGAGAGAAGACGTTAGGGGCGGGGGGAATGTGTGGGGGCTTCCCAGCTGCCTGTTGTGTGGTAACTGCAGTCTCTGATACATGCTTCTCTGGGCCAGGTTAGCTTTGGAGGTCCAGGAGGTGCAGCCAGGAGGTTCTCCAGGCCCTTCTGTATAGCTGCTCCTGCATCTCCCTCCTCACCTGGTGTCTTTTTCAGGCCTAATAGGTGTGGACGCCTGTGTATGTGTAGACAGTCTGGTTGTGCGCCATGCTTGACCCTCAGGTCTTCAACGCTGGGATGCAGGAGCCCCCCAGCTGTGAATCGAGGCTCCAGAGGGTGGAAGGATGGTCACCAGGGCCAAGAGACCTGGAGGTGGGGCTGTGGGGCAGGTGGACGGGTGAGGTGAGGAACTTTGGGCCAAGCTAGCGGCCAAGAACACCCCCACTCTTAATTCCAATAATCATTTAGCTCAGCAGGGAGGTCGAGGTTGGAGGCTGATGCACCATGGTTGGTTAAATAAGAGGCTGCAATTCTAAAATGGGGAAGGGGGAGTGAGCTGGAGGTAAAGCTGTGTCTTCCTCTTCACAGTTGGGGATCTGGCTACCCCAAATTTGAGCCTGGAATGTTTATACACCACCAGAGCTGCCACACAGTTCCCCTCTCTATCACCCACCTGAGAAACTTCGCTCTCAACAATAGATGATTATAATGTACTTGACTAATGCCTGTATTTTCCTGTTTAACACACATTAATCTGAGTAACAAAAAAAAATCAATATTGCTAACAACATTGCAAACAAATCCTGGTTGCTCTCACACAAAAACCTCCTCCGATTTTCAGTCACTCTTACCCCCTTGAATTTTGTTATTCCCCTTTAGTCTACTGGCTGTCCCTGGCTAATCTGGAGTCCAATCAGGGGTGTCAACAGCCCTTCTCTAAAACTTCCGATCTCTCTCTCTCTCTCTCTCTCTCCTTTTCTTTCTTTCTTTCCCCGGCCATGAGTGGAATCTGGGACCCTTCAAATTCCATCCTACTTTCTCCTGGGCCATTTAAGTCCTCGATTTTACCTCAAACTTCATCCCTTCCAGCACCTGTAAATGCCCAAAGTAACCACTTTTGTTATTTTCCTTCCCTGGCAATCTCCCCTGTGCAACAGCCACCAGCACTTCCCTAGGGTAGGAGACCCCACATTCTGCTGTCATGTAGCTGCCACCTGCAGCTAATCTCAGCTGGCAATTGTTGTTGAGAGTTTATGCTTCTTATTTTGATTATTTAAAAAAAAAATTGGTGTTTTCCACCTGGAAGAAACAGACCGGAAAAGCTGGCTAATGAAGGAACTTAGGTTTGCAAAACACTGTAAATAATTTAGTATTGTATTTCAAGGAAAAAAAATAGCTTTCTTAAATCATCCCCGCAATATAAATTGCAGACTTATAGTATGGTCCTGGTAAGTCTAAATTTTTAAAGGAGCAATATTCAAAGAGACATAGATGTCTGTATTAATTATTTATTCGCTGGTGCCTTCCTTCGTTTCTAACTTATTATTAATTAGGCGCCTCTAGTCTTTCACAGAGCGCTCCACTGAGCCGGTTGCAGCTTTAAATATGAATTAAAAGCAAATCCAAGCTACTGTAATGCGAAAATTATTCCGTGTCTTGCATGGCAGAGATGAATAGCTGCGTGGATCAATACCGTGAAACTCGGCTCCCAACGACAGGGTTATTGATAGCTTATATTAATGATGTTAATGATGGAAAAAGGAAAACAACGGCCCACCCGACTTAGAAACTTTTTAGCCTCTGAAACCCCGCAATAAAAACGGGAAGGGGCAGGATTCGGGCTTAAGTGTAATAAGAAAATTATTTATGAAACCGGATAAATGACTTCAGAGCCTTGATGCATTTGAACCTAACTCTCTCGGCTCCTGGCGGCCCCGGCTCCAGCTGGGGAGACCGCGAAAACCCCAAGCCATGGAGAGCTGGGGGACGGGGGGCGCTCCGATTGCCTAGGCAGACTCCGGCTTTCCGTCCCTCTTTCTCCGTCCCTGCAGGGAGAGCCCTCTGGGGCGCTGGTCGCAGAAGCTTTGGGAAGTTGGTGGAATGGGGCAGGGACAGGATTGGTCCCTACTGTCCAGGAGGGGACAAAAAGCCGGGTCGGTGGGGCCCAGCAGTCTGGGATTTTGGCTTGCTTTTTTCCCTGGTTCTTTTGGCACCCGCTGAAATGCTGCGGCTTTGTCGAGGACCCAGGTCGGTCTCTGCACTGTGGCCTCCTGCGCATCCGATCAAAGATCTCGGGATCCCCAAAATGCAAACGGGTGGCTAGTACCTGGGCGGGAGAGGGAAGGCTTTATGTGAAAAGAAACCATTCTAAACACGGTCGGGAAACTGGAGAAGGTGCTCACCCTTCTCCCCCCTCCTCCGTGCCTCCGTGGATTCTTTACTAGGCCTGGGGTTTAACTGGGTCTTGGCATAAGGCTCCCAGCAAGCGCGGGACATTTCAGGCTAGCAGTTCCCGGGCTAGAGGAGGAGAGTGAGTGCTCAGGTCTGCTCCCCATTCTCCTGTAATTAGGCACAGGCGCCGCCCCCACTTGCCCACTGGCCCCAAATATCGACCCCCTCTCCAATTTCTCTAGTCAAGGGGCCACTGAGAGGGAGGAGAGGAAGCGGAGGGGGTGGGGGAGCGAAAGGTTAAATCCCGACCCTGGAGGACCGCGGGAAAGGTCAGAGCCCGGGGGTCAATCTCAGGCTCGAGGTCACATCCCCCACTACTGGGGATAGAGCCGCCAGGTACCCTTCCCCCAGCCAGGGTCCCCGGCCCTCGGAGGCGAAGCTAGGTGAGGGAGCGGGGCGAACCCTGGCCGCGGTGGGATGGGGGCGGTGCAGCAATGCTGGGGTAGCCGGCGGTGTCCCGGCCTGGCGGTCCGGTCCGGGGTGCCCTGAGCCATCTATCGGATTGGTGTGGGAAGTTGAGGGGCTTTTATTGTAAGTCTGTGCCTCAGAGGGGAGGAGAGGCCGTCTGGTACTGCAGGCAAAGGCCCAAGCGTCCACCAGGGCAATTACAATTTCCTGGAAAAGACCGGGAAATTTTGTGTTTTTTTTTCTTTATTAGGTCTTTTAAGATCTGTTTTTCTTCCTTCTGTCCCTCGAGTCTTCCTTCCTCCCTCTCCCTTTTCTTCCCTCCTTTTCTCTCTCCTTGGTTCCCTCCCTCCATTCTTTCTTCCTCCTCTACCACTCCTTTCTTATTTTCTTTTCCCTTTCCTCCCCCTCCTCTTTTTTCTTTCTTTTTCTCCACTCCTATCTTATTCTTTCCTTCTCCCTAGCTTTCTTCCCCCACCCCCTCCCTCTTTCTCTACATGGGAGCTTCGTGCACATCTCTGTACCTCCAGACTTTCGTATGAAAGGTACCAGTTCATTTGGCATGAGAAACGTATCCTGTTTCTAAAAAAGGAGAAAGACAGGAAAGCACCAGGTAAGCAGAGGGGGTACCTACGTTTCTGGGGCCCTTTCGCTGTAACTGGTCTTTCCTGATATTTTTCAGCTAGGCTTCAGTCCATGCTCCGGGCGGGGTCCTGCCCCTTTCCTGAGCCTGGTATATTTCTGACATCTGTAGAGGATGCATCCCTTTTTCGAAGTAATATTCCCATGGTACCATCTGGGCCCCTGACATCAGCAAGATTTGGGGTTGTTTGTATTTTGATTTATTTGATTTTATTTTGAGAAAAACTTAAACCTGTCAACTCAAATGCTGTAACCCCTAAAAGCACCATCGGAGCCTTGAATCTAGCCTAGGGCACCAGGGGCAGCCCATTCAAATCGCTATCTCAGACAAAATCCAAACCTCCTGTCACCAGGAAGAATCCCCCATCAGCTGTCTGGCTTCAAAGTCCACAGCATGTTTCAGATAAGCACCAGCCTGCATAGACACAGCCCCATTGCCACACAATCTACCAGGAAACAGCTCTTCTTCAGAAAGAAAACACAACTACCACTACAAAAAAGTCACTGGATTCTGGAAAAAAATCAATATCAAAATTAGATTTATTGTCTACTTATGTGATTAAAAATGACAAAGTGTTGCCTTTTATTTTGATAAAAAGAGAGAAGGCTGAACAAAATAATTTACTATCGAGTTCTGTTCGTTTCATTTGCCTGGCAAAACCTGGAGGTGGCCTGTAGGGCCATTGTGGAGTGGAGTGGGGGGGCCAGAAACCCACTGCTCAGGAGTGAGCTCGCTGTCAGAGGATGCGTGTGCTACTGTGTGTGAGAATAATTTCCTAATCCCCAATATATGGCAACGCTGGTCCAGCTGGGCAGGTCTCAGTTGTGTCTCCTTCCAAAGAAGTGCTGTGTGATCTGTCCCTTGCTCATAATTTTTCGATTCAAACCCAGACCCCAGGTCCTGTTCTTCCAAGGAACTTTCAAGATGACACTGCTGTATTGGTTTCTGTCACAGTCTTCCTGGCCCTTGTAGTCACCGCCTCCCAGATTCGCATCCAGCCTTCGATTCTGCGAGGAGCTACACTGTCCTGTCCGTGTGTGTGTGTGACCAGCTGCCTGGCCCGGGCCGGGCTCCCTTTCCTGGGAGGCTTGTGGGGTTTCAGTCTAGACTGGAATCACTCAAACGGGGTTTCTGAAACCTCTGTGGGCTGGATTCCTCAAGTGTGGCAGGCAGAGAGTGTATTCGAGGAAAACGACTTCATTGGGAACGGGATGATTACACGGACGTTGGGGTTATTTATCTACGTTAGAAACAAAAAAAGAAAAACTAAAAAATCCGGTGTGTATCTCATCTTACACCTCTCTCCCTCTCCCCAAGCTGAATCAGACTATCGCGTCTTTCCGATGCTGCTGCTGCTGCTCTTGGGTCAGGGTCCTGGGTGCGCTGCCAGAGCTCCTATTTATCCGCTGCCTTCTTTCAGAACAAAGTGGCTCCCCATTGAGCCAGGGTCTTGGAGCGAGGCCGGCAGGGGTACAAATAGCTTCACTCACACTTAATAGCACCGTTGGAAACATCACTACCAAGCCGGGTCCCTGAGAGCTCCTAAATGCGCCTTCCGATTTGGAACTGGCGTTGTTTGGCGGGTTGCACACGGGACTAATTTGTACAGTCGTTAATTGGTCCTCCGTTTGTTCTGAAACCAAACCGAGAGGGTCCATTCCCTGGTACTGGTGCAAATGAAACCCAACCAAACCATCTCCTCCATAGAATCCCCAGGAGGCTTGGCTCCTGCGAGGTCGTCCTGGCCTCCTCTTGGGGTCGAGGGCTTAGGAAGAAGCGGACGTATTCCCCGTCGCTTGTAAATGTGACAGGCCCTGCTGGGCACCAACGCTGGACTAGCAGTGGCCCAAGCCCCACCAGCTCAGCCACCACCTGCTTCTTGGCTCGACTTCTGTCTCTCTTCGCCCCTGTCGTGTGGGGCCAGAACACCCTCAAGTCCCGGCGCCTTTTCCCCAGATGCTGGAAGGGAGGCGACAAGGGAGCATGGGTCCCAACAGACAGGCCTGACCTGGCCGCCTCTGGGATGGTGAAGGCAGCCCGAGGGTTGGGCGTTGGGTGACCCCTGCTGTGGGGCAGCTCCAGCTCCTTTCGGCGTCAAGGTAGATTCCTCCACCAGCTTCCCGGGGAAACAAACCCGGCCTCTCCTATTGCCCAGAGGGGCCCTCTCTCTAGCCTCCTCTCCTAACCCCCCTCCCTTGGCAGACTCTAGCGCCCTGGAGCTGTCAGGCCAAGGGTCAAAGGTCAGGCCTTCTCTAGGCCACAGGCTTCCTTTTTGCTCTGCAGCTGGTGTGAGCGCACCAGTTGCCCAGGCCTGTCATTCCCGCTGGGCGCCCATTTCCAGAGAGAACAGATGCATATCTCAGAGCTTAACCTTCACTTCCCAACTTAGCTCTCTTTGATTATGTGGGGTCTTAATGGGGGTGGAGCAGTTTAATTTAGGAAATTATATCCAGACCATAAAGTCAGTTATCTGGACATTTTAGGAGGGTTTTTTTTTTGTTGAGATTTTAATGATTTCTCTAAGCTTAAGCAAATAGAGGTGGCTTTGATCATAGGGCTTAGGAGCAGTCTCCCATTGCATCATTTCATTGCCCCAACCTGGTCAGAGCTGGAAAGAAGTTGCCGGAAGGGATACAGGTAAAGCATAAGAATGCCCAGCCCTTCAAATGGGCAGTTCTGTTCCATGGGGCCGACCTATTGCCTGAGTGGGGGCAAGGCTGGGAGAGTAAAAAGCAGATTTCTATGCATGGTCACGTGGCACAATGTAATGAACACATTTCTATCAATTTCTGGAGGCAGAAGGCTCAATTTATTTTGGTTTCAGTCGTGGAAAGTCCTTAGCTTTAGTTCTGACTGACGACAGAGCAGCCGAGTAGTTAGAATTCTCTCTCCAACGAAAGGGATGGTCAATAGAATTCTCAGTATCAAATGAGCAATAATTTGTTGTGGCTACATGCTGGATAATGAAAGATGTTAGCGGGATCAATAAAAAATGAAAACACTTTTACTTACATCTTGAGTTACTGTTTTAAGAGAGCGAGAGATGCAACAAACCCAAAGCCAGGTTCAGAGCCACCCAACATGCCCCTCAAAATCCCAAGGCAGAGAGGTTTGTCACCACCTGACTGGCCCTTCTAGAATGCCAGGCCTCACCTTCTCCTCCAGGAGAGTAGATTATTTATATCAAATTAATCCTGTAGAAACCAGTAATAATTTAACTGCCAGGGTTAAAAATTTTTCTTTTGTCCCCTAAAGCCAGGAATAAATTTTAAATTGTTTTCCACCAGCACTAAATGTCACCTAATTGACTGCAGTTTATCAAAAAAGTATGGAAGTGTCCCAAAGCTTATCTGTTCTTCAAAGTGCCCCAAAATGTGCACCTGACCCAGATGACTGGGAGGGCAAAATAATAGACATAATTCCTTTGGATTTGTTCTGTGTTGCCACTACATCTGTAAAGTTCAGATTATAAACTCGATTTTTCCAGACAAGTTAATCCCCCATCTTCTTTCATAATAATTTCATCTAATTTGTTTTCAATTTGGATTGGGTTTATTTGTACTTTCCAGTCTGCTTTTCTCAACACTCAATTTCAAATGCTCTCCTACAAATCTGGTTTTTAAAGAACATACTCTGAACCAGAGACACATTCTGCATTTTTAAAAGATACCAAAACGTAAAAGATGAGAAAAACATCCCGGGTGCTCCGCATAAACCACGCGCAACGAAAAAGCTCACCGCCACACAGCTTCCAGCACTCGAACCAATATAAGCAAAACACATTTGAAAATGTGTTTTGGCTGTTTTTGTAGGTTTAAGAAGACTTCATTTTTCTGACCATTCAAGCAAACAAACACGAATTCAGCCGCTGCTTTAATGCCCTCTGACCAGAGGAGCTGGTTTTGCCACCGAGTTAACTGTCAGTGCTGCAAGGTCAGTGGCCTGTGATCATGTTTGTAGCAGGTTTGGCTTGGATTTGGTGAGACAGCCAGCAAACCTGGGAGATTATGAAACCGTGAACCAGCCCTGGGAAGTGTAGTCAAGTTTCAATTTGGGGGTTTCTCCGGGTGAGGGAATCCTGCGGGCTCCATTTCTACCAGGATCACAAACGCAGGTGCAGTTCGGCCGCCGCATGCTGCCTGGCGGGAGAAACGCGCACAAACCGCAGACGCGTGCTCGCGTACTGGCCACTAGCTCGGGGCACGCCCGTGTTATTTACACCCTGCTCAGGCGGTGGGCGGGGGAGGCTCTCATTTGTTACTTTAAACTCGCGGGGAGGAACTGTAAGCTGCCGTGGCGGGACTGGCAGGCAGGGAGGGGGGCACCCCCCGCTCGGCTCCAGGGGCGTGACGCTGCTGCTGCCCTCCGCCCCTGGCTTCCACCCTGTTTGCGTGGCCACAAGATCAGCGGTGGACCAGCGTGGCCGGGCCCCAGGAGCCCTAGCACGGGCCTACCGCCCCCTACTTCTCCCCCACTCCCCACCCCTTCATACGCCTGTGAGACCGGCTTACCCTGGTGGGCGAGTCGCGGCGCATTAGCGGATTTCATGGCAAGTTGCTTCTGTGACATGAGATCAGGTTCGCGTTCGAGGATTGCCCCCTAGGAGGGAGGGAAAGAAGAGTCAATCTTCATAATTTCAAATGAGAAAGAAATAGGGAAACAGGGAAATGAATTTCGAGCCCCCTAATTCCTCCCTTCCCCCGAACCTATAAATTACCCGCACCCCGACCCAAACGCCCCTTGCACCGCAAAGAAAAAAAAGGTAATCAGCGCAAGTCGCAGGTGATACCTTTTATTGTGCTCATTTTAAAGACAGGGACCGGATGGCCTCCTGCCCGAAGACTTTCTCTGCAGCCGGGCCTGGAGCAGGAGGGTCAGCCGGGCTGCAACCGGGCCCGCGGATTCCTGCAAGGTCGCGGGACGAGAGGTGCGTGGAGGATAGACCTCGGGCTTGGCGCCCAGCGGCCCCCCTAGGCGCCCAGGGTCTGAGCCAGACGCACAAGCCCAAATTCCCTCCAGCTTCTTCCGCTCCATCTTTAAGTCCAGGCAAAGATCAATTCCCTCTCTCTCTTGCACACACACATTTGCAGCCATAAATAAACAGCTCCCAGCTAAATCAGGAACCGGAGAGGAGAAAGGGAAAAAGAAAGGAGAAAAGAGAAGGATGAGAACCCGAGCGCTAGTCTCGCCTCTCCCGCGCGCCGAGTGGCTCTTTTTGGTCAGGCCAGCCTCGCATTTGGGGATGCAACTTGCATTTGAATAGCTGCCTGGGCTTGCTATGGACCCGGGAAAGCTCTGAAAGGGAATCACTATGCAAATTGTCCCAGTTACAATCGAAAGGTTCGATCTCCAGGAGCTGCCTGACGGAAGTTGATGTCAGCTATCTATGCATTAGGGTTGCATTACCGCCTCGGTCGGCCTCCTCGCCACCCCCGCTCGCGCTTGCAGGGGAGGCCTTTTTTTTTTTTTTTTTTTTTTGCTTATGTGTATATTTTCCCTCAGCAATTAAAAAAAAAAAAAAAAAAGAAAGAAAAAGAAAAGAAAAGGCTGAAGGTGATGGTGTAGCTGGCTTGGGCCTGGGAGGCCCACGGGCTGAGACCGGAGGAGGTGCAGTCGCTTCGGCTGTGGGGTGGGGGTGGGGGGAGTCATTCTTTTGCAGCAGGTGTTGATCGTGCGTTTGAAATCAAACATTTAGAAATGTGTTTTTTTTTTTTTTTTTTTTTCTCGCTTTGCGGGACGAGGCAGCGGCGGCGGGGGGTTGGGGCGGCGATGTCTGCCTCCGCCCGCTAGCTTGATCCTACAATGCCGACTGCAGATCAATACCCGCTCACTGTAATCCCAGTAATTGTAGGGCTCGCAGCTTTTATTTTAAAGAAATAGGACACCAGGGCGCCGGCAGGCGGCTGAGGCAGCGTGATTGGGCTGCGGTGCCTCCGGGGACCTTTTGGGGCGCCTGTCTTTTACCCCAGAGCTCAGAAAGCTCCGGGCAGCTGGGTGGTCGCGCGGTGGCAGCGCCAGGCCATTAGCCAGGGCCCACCTGGCTGCCCGCGGGGACCTGGAGGCCCACGTGGGTTCCGGCCCGGCAAGGCTTTGGCGAGAAGGCGCTGCTGGGCGCGTAGCGGAGGCAGCACGCGGGATCTGGTCTCTCCCCGCCGGACGCGGGGACCCTGGCGGGAGGGACAGGTCCGGGATGGGCGTCTTGGGCTTGGACGCCGACCATGGGCAGACTTGGCCCTAGACCTCGACGCGTGGGGACCCAGGATGCTGGAACTCAGGCCTTCGACCTAGAAAGACAGGTTTTGTCCGCTTTTTGCTGCCTTCCCGGGCCGGAGGCCTGGCCAAGCTACTGGGTGGCCTAGCTCGGGCCTAGTCTGCGTCTGGCCCTCGGTGTGGGAATTGGCAGGGACTCTAGGACCCAGTGATCTACCGCCCGCGCGGCCTCATAGGCCCGGGTTTCCTCCAGGTGAGCGTTGCCGCGCGTTCGCCCGACGCCCGCAGACCCCGTCGCGCCCGGGGGCCGAGTCGGTCCCGCAAGCCTCTTGCTACCTCTGCCGCCCGCCCCTTGCTGGCAGAGCCCGGACAGGACCGCTGGGGCCTGGGGCAGCAGCCCCCGCGCCGCTGGCCGCCCGCAGCTTCTGGCGCCCCCGAAAATGACCATCTGTCATTCAATTAAGGTTTCAGGGCAGCTGATGGGGGAGCCAGGGTCAGCGACCCCAGGACAAAACGGCCTGCTGCCTCGGATATGAGAAGTTCAAATGTTAAATGCAGAACATTGTGCCCTCTCCCAGTCCCGGGCCCCACCCGGCCGCAGGTCCGGCCGGTGGACAGCAGTGGGGTGAAGGGCAGCGGTCATTAGCACTTAGATTTCAGCTCTGGGCCCAGCTCCTTCTGTTGGGCTATTTTGACCAGAGAACCTTTAACCCTTTCAGCCCTCCCTCTAGAGGAGGCCAGATTGTCCAAAGGGGGAAAGAGGGAGATCAGATGCACCCATATAAAGTGGGTTCAAACTATTTTTTTTGTGCTCACTTTCTTCATAGGAAAAGCAGATAACATACCTACAAGATAGAAGAACGTTCATTATAGCCAAAACAAATAAGTCATCAGAAAGTTTTATTTAAAAATTTTTAGTTTTAGGGAAGAAGTACATTTATTAAATATGACCCTAAATTTGCTGTGCCAGTGTGGAGAGAGTGGGTCTGTAAAATATTCCAGGCTTTTCTCCCATAATTGCATTTACCCAAATGTGTGTGAGTGGTGATGAGAGTCAGCTAGCTACAGACAACTCCGTTCATGTGCTAGTGATGGGGTCTCCATTGCAGCCAGTTTCATTTACAGTTGAAATTAAGTTAGGTAGTGGCTCTTCCCTTGTGAGACGTTCCTATAATAAAACGAGGTAAAAATAATTGAATCTAATGGAATTCATAAAATACAGTCATTAAGCATGTACATAATGCCTACAAGCTGTGGGCATTTAGGTATTAATATATTTGGCTTTTCCACACTGATCTGAGGAGAAGCAGCCAGACACCTAGCAGTTTTCAGTGGAAGATCCAACTAGTCCTCTTAATTATTAACCATGAAGCCTGAAAACCACTCTATTAGCAAGATATCGTTTAAAGGCTTGGAAATCTAAGTCCTTCAGCAGGCTAGTTAGCAATAGAGGAAGAACTTAGGGCTTCTGGCTTCCAGCGCCTGGTTCTAAACATTAAATCTAGTCCTTACTTTTTGGAAGTAACTATCAAGCAATCAATTAATCAATCAGACATTCAGCATTGAAGCACCTTAGAAATTTTTTCATTGGATAACAATGAATAATGCATGGCCCTCCAGTATATTGACTGTGGTAAATGGTCTTTAAGGTAAGGTGCTGCAACAAGTACCTTTAAATAAAATCAAAATAAAAAGTTTACCACAATCATAATAAATTGTTCAGTCATCTTCTTATTGACCCATGTAGTGTCTTTCTTCAGGGGCATTTGGAGTTATTTTTTCCCCCTTACAAACAGACCAGAACAAATTGATGAATTGAGCTTTCACTATGCTAATTTAGACATTATAAATATTTAATTAACATCCCTAATAGCCAGTCATGGAGCCCTCCCTCCCCACTGCTTTACACTCTTCTTAATCTAAAGTAAATGCTTTTCCCATTAATAGCCTGATGCCATATTAGCGCTTCCTCGATAAAAGGGCCCCATTTAGTCCAAAAGGAGGGAGCATTGAGTAGTCTGCATTACGTAGGGGTTTATTCCTGTTTGTAAAGGATCCTGGGAGCCATTACAAGTCTCTGCAAATTCTACCTTTCCTGGTTCTTGCTTAAGTGAGACGTTTCTAAGAATGGGAGAGCCTCTCAATTTCATTTTTGAGACACCTTTGAGGTTGTAGTTAAGTCGAACTATTTATTTTAGTAAGCCCCGGAAGTGGGTCCTAGATAATGGATAACAAATTTCTAACCAGGGGCTGTGCTAGTCTTTTCAGCAAAAAGACTTTTTTGCTTTTCAGCAAGAAGCAATTATTTTATGTGGTTAAAATAATTCTAAATGAGGAGTCAAAGGACCCAAGTTCAAATCCTATTGTGGGACTCTTGGGCAAGGGATTTAAACCCTTAGAACTTGAGTTTTCTCTTTTAAAGTGGAGATAATGTCGATGCCACAGAGTTAAAGATTGAATGGGAGAATGTATGTGAAATTGCTTGGCATACAGTGGACAAGAAATATTGGTTAATTCCTAAATGACTGCCCCAAATTCATGAATCCTTCTCTCCCCTTATATTTATTCTTGTCATCTTTAACGTACCCTGTTACCATAATTTAACGTGGTAACAGCACTTTATATTTGCAAACATTGTTTGTCCTATTAATCCTTTGATTTAGTTTCTGCAATGTAAAATAGGGAGAAACTAGAAGACCTAAACTCTGACCAAGAGGCAGTTTAAAAACAAATATGCGAACTTAGATGTTCAAAAGCTCTGAGTCATAAACTCTGATGGCTGAAATGTCCTTGTGTGGTTTCAAAAGATTCCAGAAGCTGCATTATATTTCCCTGGGGGCAGGAATCAGGTCAGAACTGAGAGTTCAAGAAATTAGAAGCTCTCCAGGCTGATCTAACTCTGGAACTCGAATCTGCAGATGCTGAACATTAAATAGCTGAAGAAAGGAAAAGAAGCTTCTGACAATTTAAATGTAAAATGTTGGAATGGTAAGCCATTTGATTCTGAGAATATTTCTCAATCTGAGAAAAAATAGACTTAATTTGTGGAATGTTGCTGGTTACAGAGAGAGATGAAACTTTTAAGTTATTCTTTTTGTTTGCTAGCACAAAATACATAACACTTAATATAATATGCACATTAATACTGACAAGAGAAATATTTATATAGATAATTATCCTAGTTAAATCACATAGTTCTGACTTTTTGTGCAAATGAAATTTTTCTTTTTCTTTTTGGTTAGCAGTGGAAAGGCCCAGATAGAAAAAATAATGGGAAAGGGCAAGAAATTGGCTGGGACTGTTTTCTAAGTAGCAGGGAGTGGCAGGAGGTGTGAGCTGACAGGTGTGAGCTGACAGGTGTGAGATTGTCCTTGGATAGCTCCCCATCTCTTTCATGCTCTGCTCTTCCAATCTTCTGCTCTCTGTCTCTTACCCTCTCATTTTCTCTTTCTAAGCTGTGCTGATCCATTGAATAGAAAGGGAGACATTTTGCACCCAGCATTTTGCTTGAGATACCTATGGGGAAAGTTTTTGACAAGTGCTTCCAGGGGTGTGTCCCACAGTGTTACTCCCCCAAACACCATCAGTTTGTTCTACAGGAATGATTGGTGTAAGCCCAGAGAACTCTTATTATGTACTTCTTGGGGCTTCCATGTTAAGGCAAGGGGCCTCTTGGAGCTGGGTTATGGAAAGCTGCTCAGAAGCTCTTAGAAACAAGGCAGAAAGTGATTTGCAGAATGAAAAAGTCATGTTTCTTAACCATTCACTGCCCACTATGTGCCAGGCTCCTTGCTGGGTGTACAGGGGTTCAGAGAAAGTAAGAAATAGGACCTGTTCTTTTTCTGAGGGAAGTGACAGACATTGAGATGGTATTTCAGAGATCTGA